AAAAAGGTGCGCCATGTGCTCATCTCCAAGCGGGTCTTGGGGGCACAGAAGTTGCGCTGCTTCGGTCCTAGACTGTTGCATGCGAGCAGCCTCGAGAACTTCCAGCACAGCGCCGTGTGTCAATGTTTCTGGCCTCCTCAAGTTCACTCACGTAGAGCCCCAGGCGTCTGGAACGATCCCGACGCAGCTGGAGTCTGACTCTTTTGTCGCACTGCCGACACCTCTCGATCACAGCAGCCAGACACGCCGTGGACTCATATATCTCCAGACATTCGCGAGATGCATAACATATTCTGCCTATGAACATTGGCGGTAAAAAGGTGTGTATCCCTCGCCAACTGCACGGGGTTGCTGAAGCCAGCCCAGGGAGGGGGGGAAGGGGGGAGGGGGGAGCGGGTCAATCGGGACACTCTTCAGCTCTCGGGGCCTCTTGCGCGCCGCTGTTCTGTCAAGCAGAGCCGTCTTAGTATCGGGGGGCTTTGTGTCGTGCTTCGATTCACGCTTAAAGTGCTTACTCGCAACCGGCTCGACAACCCCGTGCACAGTGTCATACATCAGATCAGCCTTCTGCGAGCTCAACTCCTGCACTCTCTGTCCTACTGCTTCGAGCCTGTGCTCAACTTGGTTCAAAAAAGCCTCCGACCCTTGACCGAATCTCACAGCTTTCAAGATTGCGTCATGGTTCCAGCACGTCGGTTCAGGTTTGCATAGCTCGAATCACGGGCCCACGGAGAACTTCACTACAAGCGGGTGGTGGCCTCTCCTCGTGCGAGTGTTAAGTATCTGGAGTTTTCCCCTCGCCTTTCCCCACACCCCACACGACTCGACATATGACCTAACCACAGCAGGCGCGAACACATAATCGATTCTCGAGGCGTGATGCCCCGATCCATGATAAAAAAGTCGGACCCGTTTTGAATAAACTATTCAGCGCTGCTACTTCGTGCTGTTCGAGGAAGTTCCCCATCCTGCTGCCATGAAAGTTCTCCTCGTTTGGTTCGCCCGTGCCCACGTACCTCGACTCCTGCATTCCTCCTATCTTCGCATTCGCATCGATCATGACGACTGGGCTTGGTCGTGCTGGTAACGCACCCACTAGGCGCGTAAGTATTTTCCAGAACTGCTTGCACTTCTCCTCCTGGGAACTCCTCTCCTTAGCGGCTCCGTGAGGTTCCGTCGGGGCATATCGTATTACTCACGTGATCCCTAGGAGCTTGCCTTTGCATCTGACTGCACCTAGCCTACCGACCGCGCCCTTCGGCGTCATCACGTGGCGGATGGTGTGGTTCGGGGAGGTCTTGGCGTTCAGCAGCAATCCCAGTCTTGTGGGGCGGCCAGCCGTGCCGCTCGCTCGCGGCCATCTGAAACGATGAAAGTGGGCCAGTCGATCTTGTTGGCATTCTAGCCCTCGAGCGTCTGGCGTACATTGTGTACCTTGCAATCCAATCGCATGACACGCGCGCAGCCGCTCGGCAATGCCATTCCATCTCCCATCCTGCTTCAGCGAGAGAACAGCGTACGACCACATTTTGAGTCTCAACATCAGCTGGGGCTGCCCGAGCGCGCGGCGGTGGCGCTCTGGGAGCCTCCTGTTGCCCCTCCCCCCATGTGTGTCCCTTCGGGACCGAGTGGCTAGGAGGAGGAGGAGGCGGAGGAGGAGAAGGAGGAAGACGAGGAGGAGGATGAGGAGAGGACGAGGAGGAGTATGAGGAGGAGGAGGAGGAGGAGAGGAGGAGGAGGAGGATGAGGAGGAGGAGGAGGAGCAGGAGGAGGAGGAGACGGATGAGGAGGAGGAGGAACAGAGGATGAAAAGGAGGAGGGGGATGGGCGGGGAGGAGGATGATGAGGAGGAGGAGGGGGAGGAGCAGGAGGAGGAGGATGCGGTGGGGGAGGCGGAGGAGGAGGAGGAAGAGGAGGAGGAGGAGGATGAGGAGGAAGAGGAGGAGGGAGGCGGAGGAGGAGGAAGAGGAGGAGGAGGAGGAAAAGACGGAGGAGGAGGCGGAGGAAGAGGAGGAGGAGCAGGAGGAGCAGGAGGAGCAGGAGGAGCAGGATGAGGATGAGCAGGATGAGGATGAGGATGAGGATGAGGATGATGCTGATGACGATGATGATGGTGATGGTGATGATGATGATGATGATGCTGAGGATGCTGCTGCTGATGATGATGATGATGACGACGCTGATGATGATGCTGATGATGCAGATGATGATGATGCTGATGCTACTGATGGTGATGATGCTGCTGATTACGATGATGATGATGATGCTGTTGCTGATGATGATGTTGATGATGATGATGCTGATGCTGATGCTGATGGTACTGATGATGATGATGATGATTGTGCTGGTGATGGTGATGGTGATGGTGATGATGATGATGATGATGATGATGCTGATGCTGAGGATGAGGATGATGCTGCTGCTGATGGTGATGCTGGTGATGATGATGCTGCTGATGATGATGACGATGATGATGATGGTGATGGCGGTGATGATAATGCTGCTGATGACGATGATGATGCTGATGATAATGATGACGATGCTGCTGATGACGATGATGGTGATGCTGATGCTGATGCGGATGAGGATGATGATGATGCTGATGACGGTGCTGCTGGTGATGATGACGATGATGTTGATGATGATGCTGATGATTATGATGATGATGATGCTGATGCTGATGCTGATGCTGATGATGATGATGATGCTGCTGATGATGATGATGCTGCTGATGATGATGATGCTGATGCTGCTGATAATGATGATGCTGATGATGATGCTGATGCTGATGCTGATGATGATGATGCTGATGACGACGATGATGATGATGATGCCGATGATGCTGCTGATGATGATGATGATGATGATGATGATGATGATGCTGCTGCTGCTGCTGCTGATGATGATGATGATGATGATGATGATGATGATGATGATGGTGATGATGATGAGGAGGAGAGGAGGAGGAGGAGGAGGAGAGGTGGTGGTGGTGGTGGAGGAGGAGGAGGAGGAGGAGGACGTGGAGGAGGGAGAGGAGGAGGAGACAGAGTTGAAGAAGGAGGCGGACAATAATACTATTAATAGTTACAACGACAGTGTAATACTACGAGGAGCAGGGGGAGGAGGAGAGGAGGAGGAAGAGGAGGAGGAGGAGGAGGAGGAGGAGGAGGAGGAGGAGGAGGAGGAGGAGGAGCAAGGCTCCCAACTGAGAGCGGTGACGTAACACGCGGTTACCAGCGAGGCTCCCAAGAGCGAGCGGTGACGCAACAAGCTCTTACCACCAAGGCTCCCAAGAGCGAAGGGTGCCATGAACCATCTCGGGCAGGTTGCTGACGCACTCTTCCCGTTCCCGTGCCAGCCCAGGTAACGGAAAGAGCGAGGTACGAGTGATGACGTTGTGTGTTGGGCGATGCCCCTTAATGGGGGGGGGTCCAGGGGGGGGCCTACGGGGAGCAAACGGATTTCATGGCTGTTTTGGGTCGTCTCCCTGGGTGTTTTGCATGTTTTTCGAGTTCCCCCCCAAGACGGCCCAAGAGCGCTCCAAGAGAGCCCAAGACCGCCCAAGACGGCCCAAGAGGCCCCCAAGAGGCCCCCGAAGAGGCGCCCAAGGGGCGTCCCAAGAGGGCCCCAAGACGATTTTCCAATGGGGAGTGTTTATTTTTAGCATCTACGGTTTTTCGGCTTTTACTGCGTTGACGACGGCCCAAGGGCCCCCAATACCGCCCTAAGACGGCCCAAGAGGGCCCCAATACGGCCCAAGAGGCGCCCAAGAGGCGCCCAAGACGGCCCAAGAGGGCCCCAAGATGGCCCCCGAGAGGGGGACCACGAACCGAAAAGTCTAGCCTATCGCCCCAAGACGCTCCCGGGAGGCCCCCAGAGCCCCCCCACGGAGCCCCAAGAGGCCCCCAAGAGGCGTTCGACGAGGCCATCAGGAGGCCAAACTCATTGATTTCCCATACGAAAGCGTACATTTTTAGCATATACGGTACAAGAGGCGTCCAAGACCGCCCAAGAGGCGTCCAAGACCGCCCACACGGCTTCCACGGCGTTGAAGACGGTCCAAGAGGCCCCCAAGACCGCCCCAAGACGGCCCAAGAGGCTCCCAAGAGGCCCCCAAAACGGCCCAAGAGGGCGCCAATACGGCCCAAGAGGCACCCAAGACGGCCCAAGAGGGTCCCAAGACGGCCCCAAGAGGGGGACCACGGACCCGAAAGTCTAGCCTTGCGCCCTAAGACGCTCCCAGAAGGCCCCCACAGACCCCCAAGAAGCCCCAAGAGGCCCCCAAGAGGCCCCCAAGAGGTCACCAGGCGGGCCCGAAAAGGGTCCCAATAGGACTCCCACGAAGGCCCAGAGACGCCAAGAGCAATCGGTAACGCCAAAAGCTCTTCACACCAAGGCTCCCAAGAGCGAACGGTGACGTACACAAGCTGATAAGACCAATGTTCCCAGCAGAGAGCGGTGATGTAACAAGTTCCTGACTCCAAGGTCCAGTCAATGCTCAGGAACGGGCGGCAACGCAACCATCTCTGAACATCAAGGCTCCCAAGAGCGACAGGTGACGTAACGAGCTCTCAACGCCAAGGCTCCCAGTACGAACGGTGGTGTGAGTAATTTCGATTCCTGTTTCTGAAGCGCTCTTTCCGTTTCTGTGCCGGGCCAGGTCTAGTGGCTTTCGGCCCATCTCGCCACCGTGTTTGGGATGGAGGTCAGAGGCCTCATGGATGCCTGTGGTAAGCCACTCAAGCAGTACTAGCTGACCGCTCTGCAGTTGTTCGGGAGTTGCCGTATGTCGAGATGAAGAGCGCGTTTTTGTTTCTCCTGAAGCGGTGCAGGAAGCACTCTTGGCGCCTCCCCTGGGGCCGACTTTGCGAGGAGGTCCCGAGCGAGGGCGTTGGCTTGTGATTCTGCGCCAGATTCCCTTTTGACCATCATTACTCCGCTCAGGGAGCTCGACGGAGCCCGAGGGCACTCCCTTCTCGTGCCGCGAGGCACGGTGGCGGATCAGGACGCGGGCAGCCGCAGATCTTCTGCGGGGAGCGGGAGCCTCGAGTCCCTCAGCGGGACGGACGAGTCGTGGAGCCCGCTGCAGAGCCCGCTCCAGCAGAGGGGCCAATGGAGACCTTCCCCGCTCTGGGCCGTCCAGGCCTGCGGGGGGGGCTCTGCGGACCTCGACTGCGTCGACTCGCCGCTCGACGACATGCTGCTGAGGAAGAGGCGCTGGCTAGGCCTCACCCGTAGCGCCGAGGGCTTTGTCAACATCGGGAAGCCTCGCCGCCACTCGTGCTGAGGTGAGGCGTACAGCCCTGGGCAGGAAGGCGTAGGCTCTCTTCTTGCCCGTCACGTGAGGCGCGCGGCCCTGTGCAGAAATTCGATCCTGTGCCGAGCAGCTGTTGTGGCTTGGGCGCGCGTTGGACACTTCGAGACCTCTCTTGGCTAAACCGGGCTGGTATTGCTAGCTCGCCTTGAGCGTGCTCGGAGCGGTATTTCAGAGGTCCCCCGCCCAGTCCTTTCAGACGGCGAATTTTATGGTGGTCCGAGTCGTTCCCCACGGACGCCCTTGTTCTTTTGCATCTTTTGGCTCATAGCGTCACTTTGGCTGCCTGTGTATCCAGGCTGCCAGTCGGCGCTTCACTGCTGAGACGACGAGTCATCGACAGTCGGACATGTCGCCTCTGCTGTGGTACGCCTTCGTGTGCGTCTGGCGTTCCTCGAAGAAGAAGAAAGGCATAAGCATAAACTTCTCGGAGTTCCGCGCGGATGTCATCGATCTGCGCGCGCCAGAGGGGCTCACGCAGATCCAATAAGCCCGCGCGTATCTCCACCAGTTAAGGCTGATGTTTTTTTCCTTCCTCTAGTTCCAGCGTCCTCGACTCAAGGCTGGGTCGAACTTTTTTGTTTTTGCGTGAACCTGCGAGGGGCACTTCACGCTCTGCACTGGGGTTTCACGCCCGCGCCCGTCGTGGAATTGCCAACGGGAAAGGGCAGCTCATTTAGAGCAGTAGGATGGGGAGAAGAATCACTCCGCGCGGGGAGCAGGAATAACGCCAACGCGCGGACCCCAAACTGTTCATTCGCGCCTCAAGTATGGAGCCCCGTGTGTGTGTGTGTGTGTGTGTGTGTGTAAGCTCTTGTGTGTGGAGCCCCACGTGTAGAATCCCTGTGCCTGTGGAGCCGCCCGTCCGTCACCGGTGCGTCCCAGGAAGGAGGAGGAGGAGGAGGAGGAGGAGGAGGAGGAGGAGGAGGAGGAGGAGGAGGAGGAGAAGGAGTACATGAGGAGGAGGAGGAGGACGAGGAGGAGGATTAGAAGGAGTAAATGAGGAGGAGGAGGAGGAGGAGGAGGTTGAGTAAATGACGATGATGATGATGATGATGATGATGATGATGATGATGCTGATGATGATGATGATGATGATGATGATGATGATGCTGATGATGATGATGATGATGATGATGATGATGATGCTGATGATGATGATGATGATGATGCTGCTGATGATGATGATGCTGATGATGATGATGCTGATGATGCTGATGATGAAGATGATTATGATGTTGATGCTGATGATGATGATGATGATGCTGCTGCTGCTGCTGCTGATGATGATGATGATGATGATGATGATGATGATGATGATGATGATGATGATGATGATGATGATGATGATGATGATGATGATGATGATTGTCGAGCCGAGGCGACTCGAGCGAAGTTTTGAGTCAACCTCTCCTTCCTCTCTCTCTCTTTTGCCGCCGCCTCCGCGGCTGTATGGGATCGAGGAGGGGGCCCCCTCTTTTGTGCAGAGAGCGCGGCAGACACGCTCGCCAGCACGGGCTGGCGCCATCATGCTCGACGGACGAGCGCAGCACGGCAGAATGCAGCGTCGACGTTAATCACGACATTGGTATTGCGGAGCTAGATCCACGGACGAGTTCTGGCACTCCCCAAGGGACCAGAACACCATGGAGCGAGACGACAAGAAGGCAAAGGATGCCATCCCTGAATGGGACGGCGATCCAGGACGTTGGCGACACTTCGAGACGGCAGTGAAGTGGTTCCCTCGCACGCTGAAGCGGCAGGACAGGGACCTAGCGGCGAACAGGATCATCGGTCGCATGCTACAGAGCAAGACGATAGCTATACGGACGTTTGCGACCACCCTGGATCCAGACAGATATGAGAATCCTAACGGCCACCTCCTCCTCCTGGACGACCTGAGGAACAGTCCACTGGGAAAGCTACCTATCCCGGACGCGGCCCACAAGATTAAGCACTACTACAAGGACTTCAAGCGGCGCAAAGGCGAGACAGTGGGCGCGCTCCTGATCCGGGAGCAGGACTGCTACTCAGAGATGGTCCAGGCGCTGGAACGCCTCTTGGAGGAGATGGGCGACAATGACAAGTACAAGCAGTGCCAGGAGTGCTACGGCTACTTCGAGAGAGACCGTGGCGCAGCCGGACGTGGACAATGGTACTGCCAGAGGTGCTGGGACCACTGGGAACCCAGCCCCGACGCGCCGACGACCTTGGCAGCAGATGATGCCCCTGCCGAGGAAGCAGAAGAAGCAGATGAGTATGAACGACACTCGACTACGTCTCGCTCGCAGGGCTCTCGAACGGATCGATTTCACCGACAAGAATCCATGGCGAGCAAGCTCAAGGTTTCGGAAGCGATGGCAGTGGGCTCAACGTTCTTCGGCCACGCTTCTGGAGTCCTGAGGGTCCTCCGCGGTTTCTTCCTGCTCGAGGCGATGGATTTCACTGAGAAAGAGAAGCAGGACGTACGCGTGGTCACGCAGAACCGCTTGGATTTCGATGCAGTCTCCAAGGCTTTGAAGGAGAGATGGGAGGACAAGGCGCTGGTGCAGCGGGACTTCGGACCGAGGGCTATGCCTCGGTACGGCCCGGAGTCGGGGCCGCAGTCGGCCCTCGTTGCGGAGTTTGACGACGTACACGGACCTGACTGGTACGACGGCTACGCAGCGGCAGTCCAGGCGTGGGAGAACGACGGATACGACCACCACGAGGACGAGGACGACTACGATGTCGTGGAGGAGCCGCAGTTAGCCTCAGAGCCAGAAGGGTCCGAGGCCATGGATGAGGATCTCAACCATCTCAATGAGGAGCTCGAGGCGGCCCAGGCGCTGGCGGCAGAGGCTTCACGTACTCTAGTTCAAGCCAGGCAAGCAGTGGCCGCCGCTCACAAAGATCGAGGATTTGGCAAGCCATCATCGGGTCCAGGAGGGAAGAGCCGCCTTCCCCCGTCGTGGCCACATCAGCAGCCCTCGAGACCGCCGTTCACGGGTCGAGGCCCGAAGGGCAGCAAGGGCGACAAGAGCGGCAAGGGCAGCAAGTACCGCGACAGGGACCACGACCAGAAGGGCAAGAATGCGAACTACCTGGAGTTTCGCACGATCACGCACGGGTTTGACGAGCTCCAGGGTCTGTACCAGGCGGAGCTGAACGACAGCGGCCTCGCCCCCTCTGAGGCCGTGGTTGATTGCGGGGCTTCCGCGTCCGCCGGAGGCGAGCGCGCAGTCCAGGCCCTGGTTGCCGCCGTTGCGGCTGCGAACCCACAGGCCAGGATCGAGATCAACAAACATGAAAGACCGTGGTTTCGTTTTGGAGACAATAAGTGGGGCAGAGCGCTGTATAAGGTTTCGGTCGAGTCCGAGCCGGGCTTCGTTCTGGGTATCTTCGCTCTCAGTCCGGGCGTGCCTCTCGTTTTGTTGGGAATGACTGCTCTGGAGTCGTGGCCGGCAATCGTGAATTTCCGAACCGGGGAGGCTGTGATCAGGGGTCAACTGGTGCAGCTTCGCAAGACTCCAGTCAAGGGCCATTGCATCCTCGACCTGGTGCAGCACGTTTCCGAGATTTTAAACCCGACCGCGGAAAACACCGAGGGTCTTGCATAGGCGTTTCAGAGATGGTCGATGACAAAGACAACATCACCACCATTAGCATCATCTCAGACAAGAACGACATCATCAGCATCATCTCGGACAAGAACGACTTTATCAGCACCATCTCAAACAACAACGACATCATCAGCATCATCTCAGATGAGAACGACACCATCATCAGTATATACGGCTCTTACGACAACACCGTCATTGATAACAGCAACATCACCTCCATCAGCCATAACAGGAAGAGCAGCTCCATCATGGTCATCCCCTCCTCCGCCGTCTTTTGGCTCTGGAACTCGCTCAGAGCGGTTTTCGGCAATCCGCAAGCCGGCGCTTCAGCCAGCGCGTTTCCATGGAGGGCAAGGACGAATGGGTACCTGTCGACATAGATGCCGACAAGAAGGAGGAGGGCACGGAGGTAAAGTCACCTTCGGCGGCAGCGAGCTCCGGACCTACGACCCAGGTCAAGCGGGAGTTCGTCTTCAACGGTCAGAAGATGGAGTATGTCACTTCGGAGGGCAAGGTCGAGGAGAGAGATCCGGGCAATGCGCACCAGGGTCGAAAAAAGGAGAAGCAGATGGAGCTGGACCCGGCGTTCGCACTGCAGGTGGACCCCCGCGACCCGAGGACCACGCGGGGACCGTGCGGCAAGACGCATCGCAAGTACTTCACGGTCAACAACCAGTGGGGCCAGACCAGGACATGCTATCGGTGCGGGCTGAGGTTGCTCTACGTCCCGACGGCGAAGGCGCCGATGACGAACCTCAGCATGCAGCATCCGAAGTTGGTGGAGTCCGGCCTGGAGTTGGTGAGGCACTGCAACCTGTGGGAGACGGCCAATCACGAGCAGGTGACCGCGATGATCAACATCGCCACCTCTCTTCGGCGGCTTCCCGGGACCGAGATCCGCCACGCGCCGGACGCGCTGCTGGAGATGTTGGGGGCAGCGAACCCCAGGCGCAAGGCCCAGATGGCGGAACCAGTGCCCGGGCCAGTCTGAGCAGGGTGCCGAGGCAGCTTCTGGCGGCCGGACGTCGGAGGTCACTACTCGCAGGACTGGCATTGGCCATGACCGTGGGCACGATCACCGAGGCGGTGGAGATCTGCTGCCATCCCAACAGCATGCTGACCGACGAGTGCACCAACATCGGCCTCAGCATGGAGCGGATCAGCATCGAGAACGGTTACAACCTCAGCACGAAGGCGGGCTTCGAGGCCGCTAGCAAGAAGCTGGACGAGGTGATGCCGAAGCGGGCTTGGATATCGCTACCATGCACGCTATGGACTTCGCTTACGAACTTCAATTACAAGACCCCAGAGGCACGTGCACGCCTAGAGAAAGACCGACTTCGAGACCGACGACGTGTGAAGTATGGAGTTCTCCTGTTGCTAGAGATTGTTGACAACGGAGGCGAGGTCTACTTCGAGTGGCCTCACAGGTGTCAAGGTTGGAAGATTCCCGAGCTCAATTTTCTTCGTATGGAGTTGAGGCGTCGAGGGCGGCACGTCTTCGAAGATCGGATCGACGGGTGCGTGTGCGGCCTCAGGGACTACAACACTAACGAGCTCGTCGAGAAGGGCTGGAGGATCATGACGACCGACCCGGAGTTCTCCAAGGTCGCGACCGCGTGTGACCACTCACACGGTCACCGAGTCATCAGCGGGAAGCTGCGCACTGCAGCCACAGCCTACTACCCGCAGGCGATGTGCAAGGCAATCGCCCGGCTATGGCATGCTCAACTCCGGGCCCCGATCGACCTCAACATGGCCCTGGAGAACCCTGCTGTCCTCGACCTCGAGAATGCCTACCTGATGGAGCGGGGCACCGGGGGCTTCTACGTCGCTGAGCCCACGGATCTCGAAAGGGAACAGGTTCGGGCGATGTAAGATCCACAAGGCTGCAGGGCATCCAGGTAACGAGCACTTGGCTTACTGGTGCAAGAAGCGACAGTGTCCACGCTGGATTATCGAAGAAGCGATCAACCTTCGCTGCGAGGCATGCGACCTAGTCAAGCACGGCGTTACCCACAAGGTCAAGGCGAGCCTCGACATCCCCATGGCACCTTGGCAGGCAGCCGTCATGGACGTTTCCGACCTGACGTTCCCGGACTTGAATGTGAAGGCCAGGTTTCTCCTCATCGCAGAGGTCGTCACCGGCCTGATGTGCGGGGACATCACTGCGAAGATCGGCCTCAAAGACAAGGGCACAGATTCGTCAGCTACGCTGTTCACGACGTTTGCCAGAGCCTACCTTCAACACTATCCCAAGCCAAGGTGGGTTTTCGTCGATCCCCAGACCTCTTTTGTGGGCGGCGAGTTTAAAGACAACTGCCAGTTGGCCGGCATCGGCGTCTCAGCGAAACCAGGAGGAGCACATTGGATGGCCGGCGACATCGAGCGCCGCATCTCGACCGTCAAGCAGGTAATGAGGAAGCTTCGCCTACAATACCCCAAGCTGAGTCCCGAGACCGTGTTTTACATCACGATTGCGGCGGCCAACAACATGGACAACATCAAGGGCTACACGCCGATGCAGTGGGCTTTCGGGTTCTCTCCCACCGAGGACCCTATCTTGGCGCATAACGCAGCTACTGGCAAGTTGAAGTCCGACTTCTTCGAGATCGAGCGGGTACGAGCGGATGCAGAGGCGACTTACCTGGAGGAGAAGGCGTCCAGGAAGATCTCAGAGCTGAAGAACTCAGCCCCACGACCTCGACATGAGTATAAACGAGGCGACTGGGTCTGTGTCTGGCGGTCGTACGCTGCGACAGGGAAGCGAAAGCTTTCCGGACAGGATTTCTTCACGGACGGCTTGTTCATCGGACCGGGCAGGGTCTTGTTCTCCGAGCCGGCGGTCCAGACAGGCAACAAGGACGGCGTGATCTGGGTCATCATGGGCAACCGATGCTGGCGCTGCGCAGCTGAGCAGCTGCGGCCAGCCACGCAGTCGGAGATCGTCCAGATCAACCTGAAGAAGGACGACATCCTCAACAGTCCGCTCGAGGATGTCTGGAGGCACCTCCAGGATTTTGACGACATAGCCGGGGAGCCCTACCCAACGGCAGATGGCATGAGGATGCTACCACGTCAACCTCTTGAAGGCATGCCGAGGGTGATCGAGAATCCCGATGTGGCCGTGGAACCCCACGACGTCACGGAGGCAGATGACGACCAGGAGGTAGACGAGGACAACTCAGCACCAGAGCCACCACATATTAAGCGAACAAGATTGAGAGGCAAGACGCCGACTGTGTCGTGGCCACCTGTACCGACTGAAGCTTTCCAACCGCGTTTTGGGAGATCATCTTCATCAAGAGCCTCAGCTGAAGTTGCTCACGCTGCCCTCTTCAAGGCGGCGAGCGACCATGTGGAAGCCAGCGAGATCGACATTATCAACTTCGTGCAGGATCCGAATAACGAGGCCGAGATGGACCTGATGAAGATCGAGATCGAGGCGGACCTTGAGGAGTTCTGCTTCGATGCGAGCGCGTACCTGGAGAAGCAGCTGAACCGCGTGGCCAACAACACGGTCAAGAAGGGCGTGGAGGTTTCGTTTGGCCGCCTGAGCCCCGAGGAGAAGCCACTGTTCCAAGAGGCAATGGCACGGGAGCTGGCGGAACATCTGGAAGTACCGACAGTCCGGGCTGCATCTGCTTACGCTGACTACAATCATGGAAAAGATATTCCAGCGGACAAGCTGATCAAGATGAGGTGGCTACTGACCTGGAAGCCTCTGACACCACCTGAACCACCGGACAAGTCGGACCCACACCCCGTGAGCACGCCGGACGGGAAGTTCAAGGCGAAGGCCCGTATCATTCTGTTGGGCTTCTCACATCCGGACCTTGTCAGTCGCGACAAGTTCGGAGATCGGGTGCTTCCTACGGCGTCACCAACCATTTCAAGAAAAGGGAAGCTGGCACTCCTCCAGATGGCTGCTTTCCACGGCTGGACCTTCGAGCTAGCCGACGCGAAGTCCGCCTTCCTGCAGGCCGGGCACGCCGAGGAGTGGAGGAAGCTCTACACGAAGGGCGTGAAGGAGCTTCGGCAGGCCTTGCAGATCAACGAGGAGGAGTCCATGCGAGTCCTGGCAGCGATCTACGGGATCACGAATGCGCCGTGGGTTTTCTGGAAGTATGTGGACCACAAGATCCACGAAGCAGGAGGCAAGAGCGTCCTCATCGAGCCGTGTATCTGGATCATTCAGGACCAGGACGGCACCGTGTGCGGGGTCATCGGCTCGCACGTGGACGACTTTGGCATCGCAGGCGACAGCGACAACAAGTTCTACCTCGACATGAAGAACATGCTGAAGGAGATGCTACGGTGGTCTCCATGGCGAAGCACGCCGTGCATGTGGGCAGGCATGTGGGTCACGCAGGAGCCGTCGGGCAAGATCCATGCCAGCCAGGAGGAGTTTTGTCACCAGCTCCTCGAGATCAGGGTTGAGTCCGGCAAGTATCTCTCGAAGGATGACAAGCTCAAACCGGAGGACGTCACCCAGTTCAGGGCGGGCCTGATGAAATGCCAGTGGAGAGCGACACAGACAGCACCACAGTTCTCATGTCGGGTGTCACTGTTGGCTCAGCGGGTGAACGAGGCGACGTTCGGGGACCTGAAGGACACGAACGCCCTCATACGCGATGTGAAGCGGACCGCTCGTGACTCATTGGTGTTCCACAATTTCAATAGCAACTGCGGCGGCAAGCTGAAGTGGGACGACCTAGTGATTGTGACGTGGGTCGACGCAAGCAGGCTACTCCAACGAGGAGGCTACATCGTGGCTTTCACCACGGCCGAGATTCTCAAGCAGAAGGAATGTGCAGTATCTATCGCCGACTGGAGATCGTACAAGCTCAAGCGCACCGGCATCGGCACCAACGGCTGCGAGGGCCAGGCCCTGTACGACGGAGAGAACGCCGCGTACCTGATGCGCATGCTGTGGTCAGTCATGCACGGAGTTCCAGTTACCGCGCACACTCAGGAGGAAGTGGCGCAATCCATGACTTCGGTGCTGGTGATCGACAGTCGGGGAGTTTATGACTCAGTTCACAACAAGGAGAGCTTCGGCATAGGCCTGAGCGACGCGAGGACCGGCGTGGAGGTTTTGCATGTGAAGGCGAACTGCGGGCCCGAGAAGAACCAACACCTGGTCTGGGTACCCTCGGACCTCAACCTCACCGACGGCCTCACGAAGGACAGTCCCGAGGCAAGGAAGCCTCTGGCCCTGTGGCTAGCACGGCGCACCTGGATCATCAGGTACGACGAGGATTTCATGTCAGCCAGGAAACGACAGCGAGCCAACAAACTCGCTCAGGACAAGCCGCAGCCGCCTACAGACGCTGAAGCCGAGGCCGCCGACGTTTTAGCTTTTCTTGACCTATCTTGAGGGTAGTGTCGGGCTCATTCTCATCATTCCTTTTCCATATTTGTACTGTGCAGGGCCCCTCTTTTGATCCAGTTCGGTCGGAACGGTTGAGAAGGATTTTAGGCTCATGTCGAGCCGAGGCGACTCGAGCGAAGTTTTGAGTCAACCTCTCCTTCCTCTCTCTCTCTTTTGCCGCCGCCTCCGCGGCTGTATGGGATCGAGGAGGGGGCCCCCTCTTTTGTGCAGAGAGCGCGGCAGACACGCTCGCCAGCACGGGCTGGCGCCATCATGCTCGACGGACGAGCGCAGCACGGCAGAATACAGCGTCGACGTCAATCACGACAATGGTGATGATGATGATGATGATGATGATGATGATGATGATGATGAGGAGGAGGAGGAGGAGGAGGAGGAGGAGGAGGAGGAGGACGAGTAAATGATGAGAAGGAGGAGGAGGAAGAGGAGGAGGAGGCGGAGGAGGAGGTGTGATCACAAACCATGTAAATGCAAGCCCCCTTGAGCTTCGTGCTTCCGACAGCCCGAAGCAGTGGCCGGAGCACCGCGCTCTTCGATCCGCGGAGGCCGCGCGGGAGAGACCCCCCCTTGTGCTCGCCGCCGAGCCCAGCGGTCTGCACCGCCTCGTGCTCTGTGCGGCAGGCGCGTGCGCACTGCGATGCGTCGCGTCTTTTCGGATGCAACTCCTGGGCGGTGAAATTCTGACTTTGCCCTGGTCTGAAATCCGGTTTAGTCCGGCTGAATCCCGCTCAATCCGGCTTCATCCCGCTTCATCCAGCGTCGTCCCGCTCAATCTGCGGGCCTATCCGGCGCACGAGCCCCCAAGGGGGCTCAATCCTCCTGAATCCTGCCCACGAGGACCCCCCAGTGGTTGCCTCCTACCTTCTTGTTCTCATCGCCTTGCCGCCGATCTCGCAGAGGTCCGCGCGGACTTCCTTCCAGAGGTCCGCGCGGCCTTCTTGGACGGTCGCCCGGCGCGCGGAGGGCGCCCGCGGCGGCGCCGGGGGGGGGGTCTGGCGCCAGTTCCGAGGAGTCCGCGCGGACCTCCGGTGTGCACGCTTACAGGATGTGCTGCTGCTTCTGCCCCCCCCCCTTCGTCTGCCCCGCCCACCCTCGTCCGCCGCCCTTTCATTCCGTCTGCCCGCCCCCCTCAGGAAGGGAAAAAACACAGACACAATTCATCGTCGATTCCTCAGGAAATATGGGGAAACATGGGAAGTGGGGGGGAAGGCAAGAACCCAGAAAATAGGGGCAGATCTGGGGAATTCTTTGATTTGTGTGTGTATTTCTTTGTGTGTCCTGGGGCCCCTTTCCCCCCCCCCCTGCGTTCCCTCGCCACCTTCCCCGGGCGGCCCGCGGGCCGACACCACAGGCTCAGATCGATCGGGGGTGCGCCTCCGCCGAGGGCGGGCGGCCTCCGATCCCGGCGGTTGTGCTAAGACCCAGGCCGCCCGAGCGGCTCCTCCTGCCACCGACGCCTTGGTCGCGGGTCAGCCACCGTCGATGGTTGCGAGCCCCGACCTTGCTGGTGGTTTCAATCCAGGCCGCCCGAGCGGAGTCCGCGCGCTGCATCGCCGATGCGTCCGCGATGCGGCTCGATTCGGAGCCCGATGTCCCACATCCCAGCGCCACCGATGCATCTCCGGGGTATCAGTGATGCGGTTGGATTCTCCGAGCCCATCTACTCGGACCTGCTTTGGGAGGCCCTGCGTCAAATCTGCACGCAGGCCTGCCATGCGTCCTCCCCCTATCTCTGCCTCCGAGCCCTGCCTGGCTCCGGGGACGTTCTGTGCTGTTGAGGGCCCCGCTGCAGTTTGTGAGCTGGCAAGCTCTGAGGAGCAGGTGGAGGAGGAGGAGGAGTAGGAGAAGGATTGGGAAAGAAAAGCACGGTAAGGAGGAGGAGGAGGACCAGAAGAAGCCCAATATGCATCAACGATGCTGGAAGATGCTTCCGTCACACATCCCCTCCTCGTAAATCCTTTTCGCCCTACAAGAAGACCCCCCTGTTGAAAGACCAGCATTCAGGCGATTGCCCCGTTGTGAAAAATAAGTGCCATGCTTCCGTCTATCGGATAAGCAGGAATGTGGAAACGGGATGATCACACAATTCAGCGAGGATTCCAGCGAGTTCTCCGTTTCGAAGAGATCGCCCTCAGTGTAATTGTTGCAGAGGTTGTGACTTACGTGTGGTCGCATTCTTCGAGGACGTCTAAAGCGGGCGTCCCAATGTGGAAAGGAAGTGCTTTCCATGCGTGCAGTTGTTATACATGTTGTGCTCAAGTTTTTGGTCTCCAGATTGACGGCAAGCTCACGTGAGAGTCCCATTTTGACAAGGAGTCGTCTTTCCTACCTCTAACTGTTGCAAGTTTTGAGAGCGAGTCTGTGCGGCGCTACGGCGGGACCCTCACTTTGAACAGGACGCGTACCCTCGTTGTGGCTGCTGCAAGCTTTCACCACAGATTTATGCGCCGCAAGCGTCATGTTGACAGCGACGCATTCCAGGCTTCGTGAGCATAGGTGGCGAGGGAGTCTTAGGCGAAACGCAAGGCCCGCCATGCCGACGTGTCTAGGTGTGCGGTACGGGGGGAGTTCTTTGCAAGTAAAAGGAATGTGGGAGGATGAGGTGGAGGAGGAGGACGAGGCAAAGTATGAGCATGGGGGACATGAGCTCAGAAGGAGCAGCGGAAGCGGCAGCACCATCTCCAGTTGGAGCGGTTCGTGGTTTGGTGAACCGCTGGCGCTGGTTGGGCAACTGACATTTCGTCCCTCGTGGGATTCTCTTGACGCCGCGGCGTACGCTTTTTGATGTGTATGAGGCCGGGGCGCCGTGCGAATTAGTGTCTGCATGCGCCGAAAAACGTGATGTAAGTGTGAGTTCCCGACTCGGACACACTGGGAGGTCGTATCGTTGACGAAGCGTCTCCACGGTGAGGCACGTGCGACTCTGTTTGTGGGGGCACGCTTGGAGCTCACCCTCTGCAGACGCGCATCCGTCTTCCCAAGCCGTCGAACGCTCGTAATCGTTATTCAAGTGGCTTACACCAGTCCTCCGATCCCCACAAGGAGTGAGTGTTTGAGACGATCCGTTGAAGTTCTATCTTGGGTCAGGAGCCTCTTGGATAAATCTGAGGGTCTCCCAGTGTGCCTCTCTGGCGCCTCTTGGAGAACTCCTGGGGGCACGTGGGAGGCGTTTTGGGGCCCTGTGGCGGCCTCCCGGGGGGCTTCTCGGGGGCGTCTCGAGGGCCTCTTCCGGGCTGCGTGGAGGGCCCTCGGGGGCCTCTGGAGGGGCTCGAGGGGCTCGGCATGTCAGGTCGCGTTCCCCTTCTCACTCCAGGGACTGACTGTCCTGGGCCGTCTTGGGGGCCTGGGGCTGTCTTTGGGCACCCTTGGGCCATCTTGGGGCTCTCTTGAAGGCGTCATGGGTCGTCTTATGAAGATCTTGGGGGCCACTTGGGCCGTCGTGTTCGCTGCCAAAGCGTAAAATGCGACTGTGCTGAGCATTTCGTTTTTTTTTTGTTCAACGGGAATGGGATGAGTTTGGCCTCTTGGGGCCCTCTCGGCGATCCTCTGGAGGCGCTTTTGGGCTGTCTTGGGGGCCTCGTGGGTCATCTTGAAGCCATCCTGGAACGTCGTGGGGCTACCCTGAGCTGTCATGACGCGCTTCAGGAGGAAGAAAAACACACGGACACAATGAATCGTCGATTCCCGAGAAATATTGTGAAGTATGGGAAATGTGGGGGAAGACAAAAGCCCAGAACATATGGAAACTATGGGGAATCCTGTCATCTGTATCTATTTCTTTGCGTGTCCCTGGGCCCCTTCAGCTCTCTTCGACCATCTTGGCGCGCCGACGGGGCCCTCTTGGGCCGCCTTGGGTTTTTTTTGGGGGGGGGCCCGTGGGCCCAGGGGTGCGCTGACGAGCTCGCCCCCCCCCCCCCCCTAGAGCTGCACTTTTGGACCCCAGGAGAAGGGGGGAACGGCGGAGGGGGGACGGTGGGCTCGGCGTCCCCCCAACATACTTCTACTGTGTGTTCGTCGCCCCCCCAGGGGCGACGCGCGCACCGAGAAATCTTACAGTCTGTGCGTTGTGGCGGGCGCTTTCTGGTTACACCGCTCGAGAAACGATATACTACAAGATGATAATACTATATGTTCGGGTTGGACGCGCGCCTCCAAGGCGGACATACAGTATTAGTATGTCTCTGTGCGTCCCATGGGCGGACAACATATCGCAAGTTATCATATCGTTCTGAGAAACAGTGTGCCAACTTGGATCGCATGCCATCGACATCTGAGGAGCATCCCCTTCCCGCATTCCAATGTTGAGTTGCATTATTTTGTCCTCCCGGACTTGGGGTGCTCGCTCGATGGCAACATTGAAATGTAGGGGGCGGGGATGGTTCGTCGAGGTGGCGTCGCAATGTAGGTGCAGCCGCGCGCGGTCAGGAACAACTTGCAACATTTCGTCGTCCAACTGGACAGCCAACTGTTTCACACGCCTATTAACCTTCGGCAAACTGAGGTCGGCGGATTTCTCTCCTTCTGCACCTCACCGTCTGCTCTTGCTCTCTTGACCGAAACCTCTAAACGAGCAGAACCCACCTGGAACCACCTAGGCCCTTACCGACGAAGCACC